AAGGAAAAAAATTACAAAGTATATAATTACATATTGATTTTGTTATTAATCGCTATTCTTTAATTGTTCAATTTGTAACTATGAAAATACATCCTGCGTATCAGATATTTATATTACAATTCATAGCAGTAGCAAAATTACACTTATGAAGTAGCAACAGAAATAATTTTATGGTTGGGTGTCACTATATTAAAGGGTTGTGACATTATGAAGGTTGAGAACCATTGGTGCTGAAAAAAAGTCTTGATTAAAGAGATGATAAAACTGCAACAAAAATTGAAAGAAATTCTGTTCCTGGTTTGAGAGTGCTATTCCTGTTTAATTGTGCGGTACTTACTTTGAAAGTAGTAGTAGTTGTTTTTTTTAACTTTTTTTTAAATTAGATTTTTATTTGAGAAGAGAAAATACAGTTATATAGACATATACTATACATTTCCTTCTCTTTTATTTACATTCACCACTGTGCTCCCCTTCTCTGGAGAAAGTAGTTGTTGTTATACTCCAAAAACTTTGTTCTTGTGGCTGCCACAAACTATGTTGAATTGGTTGAGAGTCTGTGAGAAATTCATTGAAAAAGTAAAGCAAAATGTGCTACAGGATGTCCTGTAAAAACAAAGTTTGTGTGGTTTAATAAACTTTTTCCATGTTTTTGTGATAGAACCAATTAGGAAATGACATTTATATCACAGGAACAAAAATAGTATTACATAGGCTTATGAGTAATAGATATCCAATATAATTTTATTTTGTAAATATTGTACAATCTATGAAAATATATGATTAATTGATTAGTCCTATTCTGCATGTAGTGTATATAAAGTGCTTTCTCTCTACATTTTTTTCTCTTTTGTCTCTTAAGTGATAACAATAAGGAAGGTCAGTGAATTGGCAATTTAGGCAACTGCAAAAATCAGAAAAATGAGGACTGCCATTTTCATCAATTGAAAATTAATCTGAAAACAGTTTAGAGTAATTAGTGTATGCCTTCCTTCCAAATAAACTTCTATTTCCAAATATGCAGTAATTCTTTTTAAAACAGTTGTATATTTCTAGTCAAATGATTATGAATTATTATGATGCAGCACTATCTTTTCTTTTTTTCTTGTTTTAATGCTCATATTGCTCACTAAAATGAACTCACTTAGCAAGGCATGCTATAAAATTGCTGTTGTATGAGTTGTAGTATTTTTCTTCTATTTAAATATTTATATACCATGCTTCAAGACAAAATTTCAGTGACAAAATTTCAACAATGATTTAGTCCCTGCCCTATATCAATGTTCTCATAGTGGCTTCAAATGAGCATTAAAACAAGTTACAAAATTCAAAAGAATGGAATAATAAAATAAAACAACATATATGAAACTGCAGTAATAAGTTAAAAAGAGGGTTTAAAAAAAGAAATTACAAGTATTAACATGGTATTTGAGATGAGGTGAGGCTTTGGTGTATGCATTCATACAACTATTTTAGTAGAATTGTGCCAGCTTATACGAGTTTTGCAGATTTATATCTTAGAAAATGTATTGCATGTCTTGCTAAGTGAGTTCATTTTAGTGTTGTTTAGAACCATGTAAATGTGAGAAGCATCTGTAATACTGGTGAAGTTGGTCAAATCTCATTAGCTTTTACATTTCTTTGTAAAAGAAAGAGCTGAAGTGTTCTTTCCACAGTTGAATAAATGATGATATTGGAAAGGCACAACTTTTCCCATTTTTCCATATTTAGTTCTAAACAATCATGTTATGTACAGTTGGAACTGGTATATCTTTTAAAACTGCAAAATTTTGGAATGCAGATGTCCTGCTTTGTTCTTCACACATGGTTTTAAAATGTATGCTAGATATTCTTAGAATAAACCAATATTCTGCGATAGGGGCAAAAGTATTATGTTTGGATGTTGAACAAGAATTTCAGATACAGTTTTATAGATTAAGGCAAAGTCAAGACCAGAAAGGAGCTTGATTGAACTTTAATGTATTAATGAGGAAATCTTTTATATATAAGGTTATGGGCTGCTTTAAAACTTCCGAAATGTATGCTGTAGTAAAAATTGGACAGCTCCATAAAGCCGTTTTCCTTAAATTGTGACATCTATGTGTATTCTCTCTTACACAGCTCAACAAAAATATCTTGGTATTTTTATGTTCATTGTGGCATTTTATGTTCATTGTGGCATCGAATCGTGCCAGTGAATTGCCTTCGGGCTGAAAAGGTGGCATAGAAATGCAGCAAATAAATAAATAAATCTTGGTTTTTGGTCCTGTTCCTGGGGATATTTGGGGTGCTGATTCAGAAAATTGCATTGGGTAAACTGCACCAACTCTAGTTTCTTAGATAAGGTTTTCATGGTTTTCTATGGGTAGGCTGTTGCAGACTGGTATATGCACATGTCCTGTATCTCAAAAACTAGAGCTGATAAGTGGAAAGTGGTCTGGTATATGCTTGCTTCTTTTGGTACCCTAATTTTGAAATTAGTCTGGATTGCCCTTCTGCTTCAGAATGGAATCGAACCAATCTAATACTGTCTGGAGTTGGTACAGATTGGTCTGATTGACCCAGGATTTAGCCAAAATGATTATACTAACTTGTACCATGCAGTGCATGTTGATTGTTTGCACAGAGAGTTTGATCATTGAGAAGTCACCTGCTGGCGTCATGCCTTCTGACATAGAACATTTGTGTAACCTGTACTATTAGAGCATATCCAAAATGTTTTGGTGACAGTCGAATACTTCTTTAGAAAACATAATTTATTTCTATATTACTATGTTTATGTTCTTAATTCTTACTCTTATTTTTTGCTTAACGTCTATCTTTAATTATCAGTGCCACATTTACTAACAATTTCTGCACTGGCATTGCATATAGAAACATTGAAGGCAGACTTCCTCTTATATTTGCAAAACACCTGGAGATTATCATCTGTTTGATACTAATAACTGACATTTTTGTGGTTATGCCAAAACTAGTTGTTTTTTTTTTTTTACTAAATATGACAGTTTTTATTCGCATTCATGGCCAATCCTTAAAAGGACCCATAATTGAGTTTTTGAAATAAAAGAGATGGGAGGAAGGGGGGTGAACAAAGTCTAGCACCACCTTTAAGCCTAACTACTTTTATTTTCTCGTGAGCTTTCATAGATATAAACCCACTTCTTATGGTCCAGTACAAGGATAATAAAGCATATCTACACATTGTTGGAGTGGGATAAAATGTAATAGAATTCAGAAAGATGCAAATCATGTCTCTTGCCCTAAATTTTCAAAGGCATTTATAATATGGTACTGGTCTTTCAGATCTTTGCAGTTGTTAGCTAGTATCTGTGAGTGAAAGTAAGAAATCTGTTTACGAAAAGTCAGTTTCCCAAGGTTTGGAGTGGCAAGAATTCTTGTATTAATATATATAGTGTGCCATTAAGCAGTTGTCTTTGTTCATACATCTGCTAGTCAATTGGAACTTGTAAACATTGAATTCAGCTCTTTCTAGCCTTCCTTTTCCTTTTTAATAGTGGCATTTGAGCATATTCAAAAATCTATTCCTGATTCCCCTACTGCATGAGTTTTCAACAGCACAGGTTTTTTATTTCTTCCTACTGTTAGACAGTACTGCTTGAGAGAATTTGAGGCACCGAGTGTTAAAAGAGTTTTTTCATTGTGGAATCCTGAGGGAAAAGAAAAAAATGGCCACTCAAGATTCTAATAATTTTGAGTGAATAATATGGAACGGCATAAGGATTGGACGAGCTGATAGATATAAAAATTTAAAAAGGGGGGGGGGGTATTTCTGAAAGCTGGAGAAAAAAAGATATTTCAAGCTTAGGTCTAAGATTCAGCCACACACTTCAACCGTACAGTATTTTGGAACTTAATATTGGGTAACCTCTGGGTTAGTTAAGAAAAGTGATATCCTTACCCCTCTCTCCCTCCCCCCTTCCGAGTCCAGAACAGCACTAGAAAGTTTCTGTTCCAGGCTTACAAGCTTCTGCACAAGAGCATTTCTGTGAATTGAGGAATAGATATTTTGCTGGCAGGTCTCACAGTTTCTGATTCTGAAATTTCACTTGGAACTTCATGATTGGAGCAAGTGAGGGATGTGTACCTGATTTGAAATGGTTTTTCCCCGTTTTCACATTTATTTCACAAGTTTATTTTTGGTCTCTACTTGCATGTCATATAAAGACAGACAGACAGACAGATAGATAGATGAAAATAAGTAAAACCAGACTCAACAAAATTCTCTTTCAGGCTGACATGCAAGTCACTAATAATTTAGATAAGAACGGGTGAAGTTACTTAAGTGGAATGCAAAAGAGGCTATATGCATATGTAACCACTAATGTGTAAAACAGAAAACTTTGCTTACTATAAAAATATAAAAAATATGGCTTGTATTTACCTTTGTTAACAGAGGAAGACTTACAAACTATACTCTAAAGCAGCAAAGCTAAATCTACAACACTACAACAGTTTAACTATTTTAATTATTAGAAAATTCAGGAAGTTGTTTCTTAAGGGGCATGCATATCAATATGCACATTATGTTGAAATTTGTATACATGCCTCTCAAAATGAGAAAACCATATATATTCAAAATACTTAAGATCTTTTTAATTCATTTCAAAAGCTGGAATTTGGTACACAAGCAATCATCTTCTGCAAAACAAAGTTTTAAGTATTCTGTAAGTAGATGTAGAGACCAAAAATAAACTTGTGAAATAAATGTGAAAACAGTGATAACCCATTTCAAACACACACACACACACACACACACAAGTAGCTGTAAAAGACTCCGTTCAAGATATATGTCATAACAACTACTTTATTTGATCTCTTGTAGAAGCCCATGTCCTATATTTAAGTAGCTTGTCACCTTTTTAATGAGTATCAACTTTCCATGATAATCTTGCTTTGCTTGAAAGATACTCATAGTTGTTTTTGTTCATGACCTAAGCAGAAGATTATGAAAATTAATTCATGGCTTTCTCCTCCCCCTCCAGGAACCAGTTACTCTCCACAAGAAAATTCTCATAACCACAGTGCTCTTCATAGCTCAAATTCACACTCTTCTAATCCTAGCAATAATCCAGGCAAAACATCTGATGCAGTAAGTATTAAGAATTTACCAATTCTTTTAACTTTAATATATATTATATATAGTGTTTACACATTTCAGAATGTAAAATACTGTTAATACAGCCATCTGATAGCATTTGAAACAGTAATAAAAACACGTTTGGTAGACCTGTCCAGATTATTTTAGGTTATGGTTTTAAAATATTTATTGAAGGTCTGATAGGTATTGATTTTAGATGATTTTATATAAACCATCTGTATAGCTTTATATGTGTTGTGTTAGTTACTCTCTGTCCTGATCCACAGGGAGAGGCAGAAAATGAATAAATATAAATAAAGTTGTTATCATTTAGTAGATCTCTGTAGAGTGCAGGGTCATCCATGATGTGTTGTGGAGAACACATTCTGTTAAGATCACTATTGGGCTCTAAACATTATGCGAGGGATTTATGTATATTGCTTACATAAAATAAGTTGTAATTTTGATGTTTATTCTTAAGTCATTATGCAAGTGTGAACACAGAATATGGATTTTGCTCTATTAAATCGGTTTGAAGATTGAATTTTCAGTGAAATGTACTGTGATGCTCAAAATTAAGAATATGTTATTTGTCTGATCTGTTGAGTCGGTTATATCACTGTTATTTTTTTTCCCTTCAAGTCTTATGATTCTGCAGATGACTGGTCTGAGCACATTAGTTCTTCTGGCAAAAAGTATTACTATAATTGCAGAACAGAGGTTTCACAGTGGGAAAAACCAAAAGAATGGCTTGAAAGGTAATTATTTATTATCATAGGTGTAATGTAATGAGTTACATTTGGTATGATTTTAACTGTTTTCTCCTTCTTCCCTGCCACCCACACTAGAGAGCAGAGACAAAAAGAAGCGAGTAAAATGTCTGTCAACAGTTTCCCAAAAGACAGAGATTACAGAAGAGAGGTGATGCCGGCAACCGCTGCTAGTGGGTTTTCCAGTGGAAGTATGTATGTTTTTATAAATCAGATTGTTACCTCGCCATTTTCATTTCCCCATCCCACGGCACTTTCATTTTATATAAGCATTGTAAATAGGTCACACCTGATTTGATATACTTTGGTCTAATTATTGCATATACATTGAATGATTCTTGTGAGGTCTTTTAAATTGCATGTTATTTAGCATCTTCTTTTGCTCTTCTTGCTTTTTTGCTTTCAAATACTGTTAAAGCTAGAGATTTTACCCATGCAGTTGTTATTTTTCTAGGTTTGCTAAAGAAACTGCACACAACATTATAAAATTCTTTTTCAGTGTAAACACGTGTCTGATAAAATACTACTTTTCAGTTATCTAGCATTTCGTCTATTTGCTTTGAAACTGTGGATTGCTTCTGGTCTTTTATTTTACCTCTTCTGCAGTACCCATTTAAGATTTTTCTTAACTACATTTCAAATGAATTACTAGCATACTATTAGCCTCATGAAAGCCCACTAAAAATGGTGTGACATTTTGTTGTAGTCATAGCAGTGGCAGTATACGAGCACAAATTCTATTGTGGTCTGCTACTAGTTCTTTACTGGATGATAGGTTAAAATTATGGAAGCCAGGACGTAACTCCTTGATTTGATTATTATGAGGATACTACATGTTTTTAAGGAAGCAGCGATGGCAGGTTCATTTTGATGGAACATTGCAACATTTTTAAAAATTCAAATGCTTGTGATTTTTTTCTTAGCTGGAACTAGATAGAAAAGGTTGTATTGAAATGGTATTCACAGTTGGTCAGTGTTTGAGCTCTAACTTGGCCTTTTCTGTTTCTCGTTGCAACATTGTGAATGATAAACAAAAGTGGAAGAGAAGCATTCCAGTGATGCCGCTAATATGCTCCCACAGAATATTTTGTCTCAGACAAGCAGACACAATGACAGAGACTACAGACTGCCAAGAACAGAGACTCACAGTAGTTCTACCCCAGTACAGCATCCCATCAAAACAGTGGTACATCCATCTGCAACCCCAAGTTCTGTTCCTCCTAGCCCATTTCCTCTACAGTCTGACCACCAGCCAAAGAAATCGTTCGATGCAAATGGAGCATCTTCCTTATCAAAACTGCCTACACCCACTTCTTCCATCCCTTCACAGAAAACAGAGAGAAAAGGTTTGTCAACTACTACTGATTACATTAGTTATTTTTCAAGTTTCGCTAGTTGGAATGCATAATTTTTAATTGGAATATGAGTTTAGCACAAATTCAAAATGTGCTTGTCTGCTGCCTTTTGTTGTTCTTATTATTTATTACTATCTCCTTGCTGAGATGTTATTCAAACTAAATTGTGGATGGCAGTGCAACCAGATTATCCTGATTTCACTAAGTTTATGCTTTCTTGTTCTTTCTGCTCAATCAGATACTGTTACAGAGAGCCCTTATACCCTCATGAGTGTTAGCGGGTATTGAAACTGGAGGATTGAGAAGTCAGGAAGTCTAGTTGTGGAGGTTGAGTTCTGTTTGTCTAACACTGGATTTTATTACATGTTAAAATGGTAATAGGCTGTGTGCGCTTTAATTTTAGAAAAAGGTGTTGGTAGGAAAATATTGATGGACGTGTTTGAAATCATGAACAGGAAACGGTACAATAGGCCAAGGGGCTATAAGATATTTGGCTGGTATGCAGTCATCAAGAACTTCTGCTTGCAGATAAATAAACCACACAGCTTTTCCTTCATGACCTGTTGATTGTGTTCTCTTAACATGTGCTTTTTAATCCTTGGTTTATTTCATTCTAAGTTAAAGGAGTAAGCAAAACAAAAACAAAAAACCAACAAAACCCTAGAGTTTGCTTTGGATTGTTTGCAAAATAAACAGTCCAAAGATCAGCTGACACAATAAGCAAACCAGACACTGTGTGTAGTTACTGCTGCTCAGGCAGGAATGATTATGTATGACAACACAGAATTCACATGCTTCTCTGGCTTATTGTGTTATCTGAACAGGGATAGAATGAAAGTCCCCCCCCCCTTTTTTTTTGTTTTTGTTTTTGTTAACACCCTTTTCTTGCCACTGCCAGTATTTGGAATTAGCAAGTGAAGTGTACTAGCAGTAAATGTGCCTCTAAACAAAATATATATTTGTTTACATAATCTTCATACATTTCTAGAACATTCCCCATTCCATATTTCAACACATGGTGAAACCGTGCTTCAAAATTAGATGACTATATATGAGAGGGTGACTGCATAGTGTTGGCCAAATTCTGGAATGGCCACATTACCCATACGATTTCATTACTACACTAGATGCTAGGTGAAATCTGTCCATAGCTGCCAGGTTTTTCATTGCCTTGGAAATTTGGTGTCCTTGTTAATTGGATGTCTGCTTTAAAGTGTCTGACTTGTTGGTTTTCATCTGCTACTTATTTTTATTTGGATACTATTTACTCTGTAGGCACATACAAAAGGTCAAATATGCACCCCTAAAAATAAAAGCATGTGGCAGTGGCTACTCTAAAATTAACTGTATGAAGATTCATGCTCGTGATAAAATTCTTAATTTCATGTATCCTCCATATTATCCCCTCTCGTGGTTCTATTTCTTTGAATGAATAGCATTACATTAAATAACTGTATCGTTTTCATTTAATTTTTACTCTTCACTTTTTAATCCTTCAATCCAGTGATACCTGAAGTTGTGATTAGTGACAGAAATGTCACTAATGACTCCAGTGTTTTAATAATCTATTGTGCCTTCTTGGTTTTGCATAGAAGTGCAAAAAACTTGGAAAAGTAAGAGGGAGCCTTTTTTAAAAGTCTGAAATTAGAAAAATACCATGCAAATGTGAGAGGGAATGAATTAAAATGTGTAAAACTGCTTTCTCCAGCACATTTAATAGCCAGTACGTATGGAGGGAACATTGGGTTAGACAAAATTGTACTCCCTTTCAGAATTATGTGTAAGACAGATATGTAAATGAATACGTTGAAATCGGAATACAGTGGAACCTCGACTTAAGAGCACCCTAACTTAAGAGTATTTTGATTTAAGAGCCATCTTTTGGCCTGGGTTTGTTTTGACATAAAAGCAGTATTTTGAGTTTAGAGCCAGAGTACAGGGCTTTAGGGCTTCAAAGGAGCAGTCTTCATGGCTCGTACTCTTGTCTGCTTTGGGAGATTTCCGTCTGCATTTATTTATTTAAAACTTCTCCGCTTTGAGAATTTTTTGTAGTTTTTTTTGTAGTTTTTATTCCTGGTTTGTTTGTCTTCAAGAAGAGAAGTGAGCAAAAAATGGAGGCAGGCTGGAAGGAGTGCTGTATGAAGAAAATGGTGCTTCTGCTTCTTCACTTTGTGATTTGTGCTTCCTTGCCACAACTTTGTGCTTCTGCCACTTTAAAGTTGATCTTCCTTTTTATTGTTCCATGTGAATGTGCAGGTTTTGCCTTGTTGTTACACTGGCCAACACACATTTTGTTGCCTCAAAAATGCTTCCTTGCCACAATTTTGTGCTTCTACCATTTTAAAGTTGATCTTCCTTTTTTGTTGTTCCATATGAATGTTCATTTATACATTATTTGTTATTTATAAGGTACATTTTCTTATTTAAAATACGTAACAAAAATGGGAGTGGGGGCTCAGGGACCAGCATTTCAATGGGGAAATCTGCTTTGATATGAGAATGTTTTGAGTTAAGAGCTCAGTTGCGGAACATATTAAACTTGTAAGTCAAGGTATCACCGTAGATACTATTGGAATATAGAATTCCGTTTGCTCCCTTCCATCCCATAGTCCCCAAATAGCCTCAGAACTTCTCAAGGTTTTGGTGTTTTCTGAATAACATAAAGCTCACTTTCAGACTTTGTAGATCTTTCAAGTACTGAATGAAGAATTAAACAAAGTTGCCCTGTTTCCTTGATAAACAGAATTTATTGTGAAACATTAAGACACTGCTAACAAAAATGGACAGCTGACCTTTTCTATTCACATGTAACATTTCTAAAAATAATAGAACAATACAAAATGTAACTAATACTCATTTCCTTCTGGTCCTGACTAAATCTTTTATGAGGATGGCAAGCTTGTGTTCTGAATCTGGACTTCAAATAAGAGGGTTTTTTTTTAAAAAAAAATGATAATGCTGAAATGTATGCATTCTTTATAAACATAGTTAGCTTTTGTTACTATATTGTTTTTATTTCCAGGAGTTATTGTTTATTTTTTACAAATAAACAATTTTACTACAAAATATGTATAAATTGAAAAAAAATACAAAAAACAACCCCCCAAAATCTGGGTTGTCTTAAATGTACCTGCTAGAATACGGACCCAGCATGAAGGCAGTGGCAGAAGCAAAGGAGAGAAGCTTACTTATCCAAACCTCCTAAAAGAGGTTACTTTCTTTGCTCTTCCCGTTATCCTTTTTTCATGCTGCATTCTTATTCCTAAGTAATATTTCTTTCCCTATCTGTAATTCTACAGATGTAGTCATTTTAAGATCAGAAAAACAATTTCCCCTCCCCCATTGCAACCTCTAAAATAACATACATTTCTAAAAGGAGAGAAAATATTTATTACATACCCTTAATTTTTACCTTGGACATATAAGTTGACCATAGCAAAAGCAGCAGTTTTGCCCAAAAAACATGCCTTTGAATTATACATGTGACTGACTTACGCACATGTATATGTGGTCTTGTTTGTGTTGAGTTCTAATATTTGGTTTTTATTACTACTTTTTTATCTTTGCACTTGGTAATATTATATCTTACTACATTTCTGGATTGATAAGCAGGCAGCAATGTGAATTATAAAAACAAGTTATTTTTTAAAACATGGAAAGGAAAACAATTGGCACAGTTTTTTATATGAAAAATGTAATTTGCTGTTTCTGAAAGAAGTGAATGGATAGTACTTAAAAGGTAACAGAAAATTTATTTATTTCAGAATCTGTGTCTATGGAGAAGTCTGTATCTCACTCATGCACAACACCTTCCACATCGTCTGCTTCTGGATTGAATCCAGTTTGTGCACCAACTTCATCTTCTGCTGCAGTCCCTGTTTCACCTGTCTCACAATCACCAATTACCCCGCTTCTGCAGGATCCACACCTCCTTCGGCAATTACTACCTGCTCTCCAAACCACCTTGCAGATTAACAATTCTAGTGTAGATATATCCAAAATAAATGAAGGTAAGATAAATTATCTTTGCAACGGTCTCAAAATATAATATTAAACAAATATGCCTTCTGTATAAGATCAGTTTTTACGAGATGACATTGAATTAGTAAATCAGCATATCTGGAAAACAAAGATGAATATAAGTGGTGGTTTAATTACATTATTGTTGTATACACTTTCTAATGTTCTATTTGCAAGCATATGGTTAAAATAACTTGTGAAGTGTAGTGGGAAGGTGAGAAGTATTTAAGTCAGTGAGAAATAGCAAATGTGTTAGGATGCAAAATCTTTTCCCCACCTACTAATTTCCTTGGAAATGCCAATTCCCTCTGCTCTTCTCTTGCTTACCTGCCCACCATGGAGAGCAATTGGGGAAATAAGGGTTAAAATAATCTATTGGAGAAGTAGGAAGAATTGAGCAAGTGGAAAGAATTGAACTACTTTCTGATTTCCCCTGCAAGTACTGTGTCCCTGCATTAGAGTTACATGGATAACAGGGCTAAGAACTCAGATGTTGCCTTTTAGTGTGTAGTAGGTGTGTTCATGGATTCGGTTTGGTCTGTTCCCTTTGGCCTATTCGGCTGGCCGTAACGGTAAGGGCTCAACCATTATGTTTTTTTCTGGCTGAAATGGGCCACATGGCAGCTGGTCACGGCTCCTCCTCTCCTATTCGGCATCATACAGCGCGAAAATTCTGCTTCATGTTTGCATGGGGTTTCCCTGTGAACCTTACCTGTTGGGCCAATCAAAATAGAAGAACACTGTGATGTGTCTTATGCAAGCTGTGTCTATTTAATAGGGTGAGCGCCTCTATTGCTCTCAGTTGTATCTTGGCTCTAGAGAGGTGTCATGTTTAAGCTGTCCTTTTATGTGGTGTTATTCTGGGATATCACATTTGTATTTGTTGTTATTGAGGCATTGAATGTGTTTACCTTTTTGTTTGTTGGAATCCACCCTGACTCCTCCTGGGGAGATAGGGCGGAATGCAAAAAAGGATTATTATTATTATTATTATTATTATTATTATTATTAAAGTCCAGTTGCCTTGCTGCTCACTCTCAGCTTTATTTTTTGGCTTGGCTTGGCTTGACCTCTCTCTAGCATTGAATCTTTTGATTTTTCTTGATTTTTCTTATTCTTTTTATTTAGTGGGACTGGGAGTTGGGAAAGTGCGGAATGGGTGGGTACGGTGTGCGTGCGCGTTTGGGAACTTGGAAGAAAGAAAGAGATCTCTTTGTTCTTAGTGTGCTTTGCTTTAAAAATATTTGGGTGGCTCTGAGAGCTTATTTTTCTCCTCCCTTCTTCTCCTTCAGAAAATACTTTTAAAAGATTAACAATTTCTATTAATAATAATAATCCCAGCAAACAAACATATTTCTCTCTGTGCTCTCTGCCTTCTGAATTTCAAGTAATAATAAGTATTAGCCACAATGCTTTGACTGTTGCCACTTACCAGTAGTAAGAAAAACTATAAAACTTAGTTTTGGGCTTCAGTCTGTGGAGAAACTTTGCCAGAACCCATCGTTTCCACTCCTCTCCTTCAAAAAATACTTTCAAAAATTATAATAATAATAACCCCAGCAAACAAACAGAAAAGCATCATTCTCAGAAATCTACTACCTAGTTACCTACCGATCTATAATTTCATTCCTTTGTAAACAAATTCTCTCTGGTTATATTTCTCTCCGTTTTCTAAAAAGAAAAGAAATTCCTAAAAATCAAGGGATGGCCCAAATGTTATGAAACTTGGTGGGCTAATAGTGGTAGATGTGTCCTCCAAGTGTGGTCATTTTCATCCCGATAGCCCTAAACATTACTGGAAGGGGAACCCGGGAAGCCCCCCCTCCCATTGTTGCCAATAGGCCGGATCTAGCTGCATTTTTCGGCTGTGGGCGGAAAACAGCTATTTGGCTACCCACCTGTTTTCAGAAGGTGCACAAAAATAGATCTGGGGGGGGGGGGGGGGTCTCCTGAAATTCGACCAGCAGAAATGGATCGAGGGTCAGCCAAAATACACAAGCCTAGTTTGTACCTCTACCATTTATTTTGGATTGAGGTCAAAACTAGCTGTGTTGCACACAGGCGGGCTTCCCTCACTCTTTTTGCCATCCCTTGGTCTTTTCGCTGTGCGTGCCCCGGCAGTGCCTCAACCCCAGCATGAGGAGGAAGATGATGAGAAGAATGAGGAAGGCCTGTGCTGGCCTCCACATTGCTGCTGCCTTCCTCCTCCTCCTGGGGCCAGGACGCTGCCGTCATCGTGGCACACGCACTGAGAAGACCAAGGGAGGCCCCAGCACACAGCTAAAAGAGGGATGCCCGTGCACGTCTCTCTCTCTCCCTTCCTCCTCTCGCAGGTGTGAGAAAAGCGAAGGCGCTCCAGCCCCGGGAGGAGGAACATGGCAGTGAAGGTGCTGCGCACAGGCCTTCCTTGTTCTTTATGCTGCGCATGCAGGCCTTCCTCCGTCTTCTCACTGTGCTTGCCCCAACATCACATGCAGTGGCATCTCAACCCTGGGAGGACGAGGAGGAGGAGGGCGGCAGTAGCGATGCGGAGGCCGGCATGGGCTTGCCTCACTCTTTATGCCGCTCACGGGCCTCCTTCGGTCTTCTTGCAGCATGCACCCTGGTGATGGTGGCGCCCCGGGAGGAGGAGGAAGGCGGCAGCGATGTAGAGGCCCCCACGGAGAGCGCAGTTGAGCGCTGAGCCAGGGCCCCCACCAACCAAGCCCAGACCCCATTGGAAACAGGGACTCTAGTATAAGCCGTAGGGAGCTTTTACAGCCCTATAAAAAGGGCTGAAAAACGCAGCTTATACTTGAGTATATACAGTACATTTAAAGCATTTCAATACAATTTAAAGTCTAAAAACATTGAAACAGAATTAAATATCAATGGCATTTAAAAATCCACATAAACATCCATAAAAACTGACTGAAAAATGTATTCAGAGCTAAAACCACATTATATACTGTTCATACTATATATTACATATGTTGTTGGTGTTTATTTTAATGGAAAATGGAGTCGTCTATCAGCTACTTGCATTCCATTTCAGACAGTGAAAGTTTATTAAACTGTTACAATTTTGTTTTGTACAAGTGTTAGGCTCACATATCTGTATGGAATCCTAGTGGATCCTGTACAATCAAATGGGAGAACTTATTTGTGGGCTAGTTCATCTCCAAACTGGCACACCTGTAAGTTAAGTTGATGGGAAACTGCAGCGTTAAGTATATATTTTCTGTACCTATTCTGTTGTAAATCTCATAGAACATTCTTCTAGATACATAAATTTAGATGATTAAAACTTACTTTGGACAAAATATAGTTTCTTTAAGCACACTTGAAGGACCAGCTGGATGAAGAACCTATTTTTCAGGAATAGCAAATGCCCAAAATACATGGTGTTACATGATGGACCCAATTTCAAAGCAGTATAGTTCATGATGGTAGCATGTTAGAATTACACAAAAAGTTGCAAACAATTTGATGAGTACAGTTTTGCTAACTCCTACTTTTGAAATGCATGCTGAACCGCAATTCCAGATTCAGTCTTGCTGAACTGTAACACAAATTACCTTATGTTATGGGGTCACTATCTTGTGAATGACTGATACTAGGGGCTGTTTCTGCCTTGAATGAAGCATCTAGTAATCATTTGAAATACAATGCCCAACTCTTTCAAGTGGTAAAAATCATTCATGGTTGTTTGTGGTTGCAGAGATATAATGATTTCAAATCATCTCCATCTTTTGAAACACCATGTATTATGATCCTGAAGGTTATGTATTTGGCTGAAATAATAGTTGGAATCCTTTGGAGGGCTTTACGCTTGCAAAACTTGGGTTAGGCTGGTGGTCTTCACATGCTTGCAAGTTATTTGTGATGTGTTACGCAAGTAGTTTTCCAACTGATAGCACACAGAAGAAGCACCCCCCCCCCCCTCCTTCTGATAAATGAAATTATTGAGATGTCACTGACTGACTCCTCTTGGTCAAAGTGCCTACTTGATTCTAGTCAGCTTATTGCTAATTATTAAATTGAGAACATTATTTGGAAACAGTATGTCATAAGTGATGCCATTTCTTCCCAAGAGAGGCAGAATAGGGAAACAGTGCAAGGCCTTCCATTGTCTTCCAGGGCCACTTACCATTTGGTTTCTTCCAGAGAAGCAACTATTCGTAGTACGTAACTGCACTAAAGGTAGCATAAAGAAAAGAGGAGGAAATAATAGGTGATGGGTTGAATACATTACATGTGGCAATATTATATTGGCTGGGGCTTTTTGTTTTAAAGTAATATATTGTTGATTTAGAATGAAACTGATAATCGGAATTATCATTAGTTCTTACAGCTGCTGTGACACAAGCTTCTCTGCAGTCTATACTCCATAAAATTCTCACTGCTGGACCATCTGCTTTTAATATAACTTCCCTGATTTCGCAAGCAGCACAACTTTCTACACAAGGTATTTTGGAAGCTCCTTGTTCCTACTAGAATTTCCTGTTTAGGGTCCTGTGGGGGTAGGCGGTTGGTATCTGATGAATCAAGATGCTATTAGTCCAGTGAAGCATAAAAAAATAATAGGCTGATCAAAAGTGTGAACTTTGTTGTGGAATTTATGCAGTGTGTTTGTCCATTCAATAAGCCTCTTGGTGTTAAATGATCGAAGCCAACAAAATTTACACTAGATACATTCTCTTAGACTAACCTACATGAATGAACATAGTTCCAATCTTTTTGTTATTTCTGTTCAGTGTCCATGTTAGCTAATGGTAATGTAATTAAGGATATGCATTTACAACAAAACAAAACTTTATTTATATTCTGCCCCATCTCTCTGTGGGGACTCAGGGCAGCTGGATATGTAAAATAATCCTTTAGAGATCTTTTGAAGCATATGTTACAGTAATTAGAACTCAGTGGAGACACTGAGAATTCCATAGTAATGTAGTAAGGTGCACAAATCTATTTTGATAGAATTTTATTGTTAGTTTTCTGTCTCAGAAAAGATATACCATATGTCTTCAGACTTCTTTTTGAACTGTGATCTGTTTGTTGGCTATATATATTTGTCAACGTGATTGGCAGCTGGAGATATAACATATATATACATTTATTTACGGTCAATGACCCTCACCAAAACAATTTGTACAAATATCAGAATAAGAACATATACATTTAGGCATTAAGAAACTGTTAAAAGCAGAGTTAAAAACCATTATTGGATATGATAGTTAAAACAGTATTAAACATATGCTAAAATGAGAATGGTAAAAACTGGAGTAAATATTAAACCTTCTAAGAGTGTGACAGCATCTTGCGCTGACAAGCTATTGCTGCTGTAGAAAAGCTAGCAACTCTCCAGTTTTTTGGGCTGTAGAGGAGACATAACATGTATTCATTTGTTGTTGAAGAGGGGACTGAAGTCTCCTATTCTGTTCTACATGCAGCTTGACTGTTGAGATTTCTCGAATATATCTTGGATTATTTGTGCTAAACCTCACTTTTACTAATGCACTGATACCATTTTGATACTGCTGTCACTCACTTTGAGGCCCAATATATCCAGTTATACAGGTTCTGTTTGTACTGGTAGTTGGCTTGTACATGAGAGCAGATTTACATTGTGCATAGTAAAACCATTTAAAGTAAACCAGTGCAGTTTGGGCCTATCCTCCAAGGGTCGTTAAAACAGTCCACATCACTTAAAGGTTTTAGCACCCAGTTTTCACAAACAATAGTAGTACTGTAAAATAAATTAATCTGTTTTGCTGATGCTGTGTATTGTCTATCTCCTTTTGAAACTTTTAGTATCTCAGGTTTTGTCTTCTGCTTGAGTCTTTTGGCTTACTCTTCATTCAACCACAGGTCATCCCACCCTTCTTATTCCATTCTAACATTCTCCCATAAAAGTGTTTGTTTTTTTAAATGTTTGTGCAAATTCCTTAGGATTTTATAAAACTGTAATGGTCTTATTCACAGCTCAGCCATCTAATCAGTCCCCAATGTCTTTAACATCGGATGCCTCATCACCAAGGTCATATGTCTCTCCAAGGATAAGCACGCCTCAGACTAACCCAGTTCCTCTGAAACCTTTGATAAATACACCTCCTGTATCATCACAGCCAAAGGTAAGATTTTATTGAGGTTTGGCTTTAGTAGTGACACTGTGTTTCTAGTGACTCTTAACACAAGCATGAGGTGCTAGCATTTGAATGTTTTCAATATTTGGAAACATTATGTCACTGTTTATATATTAAATCAGAAATTAAAGGTATACAAATGTCAGTTTTCTGTCTGATAGTTACCTTCAAATGATTTTAAATGTGCCCTCTGGTGCTATTTATTTGATCCATATCCCACCTTTCTCTAAATCGGATCTAAGCATTTAAAAAGCAGAGCATTTCTTTTGTTTACAGCAGTATTTCTCAAACTGTACTCTTCCACATGTTTTGAACTTCATCTCCCAGAAATCCCAGCTAGCTTACCAGGAATTATGGGAGCTGAAATCTAAAATATCTGGAAGAGCACAGTTTGAGAAAGACTGGTTTATAAGGATTACAAGTGCAGTCTGCTGGGATAATATTTGTGCAACGTGTTAAGAATATCCAGTGTACTCCATACATGCAGAGTACAAATTTCTGTAATATTATTTTATGCTTTTTTCTGATATCATATGCAAGAAGAGCGGGAAACATCCTAGTTTTGACCCTTAGGTTAGAAACATTTATTTATCTTCAGTAATACAGAAATCTGACCAAATTTGGACCTTTCAGGTTACTACTTCAGGTGTTAAGCAAGGACCAGTTTCACAGTCAGCATCTCAGCAGCCCGTGATTGCTGATAAGCAGCAAGGTCATGAACCTGCTTCTCCTCGAAGTCTCCAGCGTTCGAGGTAAATTTTAAATTGTTTTTGAGTTTTGATTTCACCATACACTCTAGAAAATGCTGATTTCTTAGTTGGTCACTTTGAATTGCATGCTTTCTCATCTGCAAATGTGTCTTGTCTAAGTTTTTCCCCCCCAAAGTGGCATGTGCATTGCAGTCTCAAGATTATATCAAGGATCAGATAATGGGATTTTTCTTTCTGTTCCTCTGTCCTTCAATTTCTACTCCCACCCTCCAGAAATCTGATCATATATGGGATATGTGTGATGAAAGAGAAAGATACATATTTGACTGCTTAGGTAGTTATATTTATATTTTTAATGTACCAAACATACCAAGTTTGTATGAAAATGTGACTATTTCCTGTGCTGGTCAATGACCGAAATAAATGATTTGATTTGATTTGATTTGACTATTCAATTTGTTTGTATTTCGTGAGTTGACATCTGAGCATTCTGAGATTTTGTTATTTTAATAATTATATGAAGAACAAAATGACGATGCTTTTCCTGCATTCAAACTTTTGGTTACCAGCATTCACATGTGAAATTTAACTAGCTTTGTAAAATTTCTGATCCCATTTTAAAAGCTGTACATTACCACTTGCACTACACAGATTGAAAGTGTTTCAAAAAGATATCTGATGTTGTTTAGGATGAAAGATTATTAGGCCCTTTAGATGTGAAAGCAGTCTATATTTTGAATTGAAGAAAGTATATTTTTGTCAAATCCTGTTCTTCAAGACATACAATGTCGTTGGCAAATTAATAGCTCTGGATTATTCTTCAGGGTACCATTGATCTTAAACATTAACTAGCATTTTGTCAAACAGAACATATTATGTCTGCTAGATTTGTAAAAGTAGTTGTTGGTATGAAAAGTAACCATTTAGGTAACATAAACATGATGCTAGAAATTAAAGTAGTTAGTTGGGTTACTAAATGGTAGATTTTTGTAGAAGCAAACAGTCTTATATGCACTTGCTTAATTGGGGCAAGGTTTTTCAGACATAATCGGGTCAGGTAATTTTAATGCTTATATGCAAATATATATATGCAAATATACTGACAACGCTAACTGCCTATATTTGGATATATAAGTTGAGCCTCCCTTTTTTTTGGAATTCCAATATTTGAAGTACAGGCAGTTCCTGAATTACAGACACCCTACTTGTAAATGGCTCATAGTTAAGAACAGGGTGAGACAACAGGTAGTGAGAGACATCTACCCCTAGGAAGGGAAATCCACTCCTGAAAGAGGTATCATGGGGAAAAGGGGTCTCCACTGATGCTTTAGCACCAATCCTTGTTTCCACAACAAACCAATTTTTTCAAAATGCAATGATCACAGGGACAGAAAGGGAGATGAAATCTATCTATCTAGGCTGGAGTTACACTTTAAAAATGTACCCATTCCAACTTACAGCCAAATTCAACTTAAATCTACAGAACCTATCTTCTTTGTAACTTGGGGACGGCCTGTATTCAAAAATCTAGGGCTATCTATATCAATGACTGAGATAGTGATACATATGCTTTCTGTGGGTTCAGTGTACACAAACTTTGTTTCATGAACAACATTATAAAAAATCTTGAATAAAATTGCCTTTGGGCTATGTGTATAAGGTATGTATGAAACAGAAATGAAATTTTGTGTTTAGACTTGGGCCTATTTCCACAAAATTTCATTATGTACATACAGTATATGCAAATTTGGGTATTCTCAAATCCAAAAAGATACAAAACATTTCTGATCCCAAGCACTTTGGATAAGGGATGCTCAGTCTGTGCTATCCATTACATTGACATGGTGTTTCCAGTTCTGAGTTATGGCATCAGCTGCTAACTTTCTGCAGGTGGCTTTTTCTGTAGTGTGGTAATTATGTGTCTAATGGTGGGCCAGTTTGGGGGTGTCAAATTTGAATTTGTTCTCCTCTACTGCTATTAGTGGCTCATCGGAATCTTTGCAGTTTTTTATATGTACTGAACTCCTTATACATTCTTTTTTGTTTGATTGTTTGAAGGAATTTTGAACTGTCCATTGAGTATTATGCCACTTTATGTACAAAAGCTTTGTGAGGTACAAAAAGACATACTCCGAAAATAACATTCTCTTAAAAATAGGGTGGGTCTGAAATCCTGCTAATTAAAAAGAAAGGTGACACAGTACTTACTGCTTTATTACTCTTTTTTATTTCATAGTCATAAAGATATTTAGAATTTTTTGTATGGACACCTGCATGAATTTTTATAGTGTAGCTTTCCTGTGTAGAAATGCCAATTGGTGCTATCATATTAATGGTGGTACATTAGATTTTATTTCAAGGGGATGTCTTCCTATTTAGTGGAACGGCTCTGGATTATGATTGTGGATGGCATGATTTTAATAGTGATTATAATGTTATATGTCTTAATGTATATTTTAACTCTAATTTTAAATTCTAATTTAAATGTATTTAATTGTTTGTTGTCTAAAGGAATCAAATAGTTGCCATATGTAAAGCTGTCTTGAGTAGAGAAAGGCGGGATATAAATAGAGTAAATAAATATTTTTAAAAGGTACATTTTAAATGCAGATGATAAATCAGGAATACTATTTTATCATGCAGGCCTTTCATATTGGATTCTTTTATAAATAGAACTGAATAGATTTTTTTTTGCATTTTCTGTAATCTGAAAGCTGTGTTATTGGTTTATTTGAATATAAGAATTTTTCAGTAAATCTAGACACTTAATGTCTTTGTTCAGGTTGGTCAACATAGGTCACTGTTTCTGTAACACGCAACTTCACTGTGGGCAATTAGGAATTCATGTTCTTGTCGGTACAGTAGTACTGCCAAACAGAAGTTTATAAGAGGACGATTAAGGAAGAGCATACATTGTTATACAGATTATAATAGACATTGAAACTTTGAAACTAACATTATAAAACAGTATTACTGCTTTGTTATTCTTACTCTCACATAGAATAAGATCCAAGCACGCCCACACTCACACACCCAAAAATACTATCTCTACAGAAGATTGTATCTTCTGTCTCTCAAAGAAAGGAAGATTGGTTTCATCCATTATGCTCAAAGGAAGCAGTCACTTCCCATTGGCTTTGTATTGGTGGTTTGTGTGTATAGCATAAAGCAGGGGTCCTCAAACTAAGGCCCGGGGGTCGGATACGGCCCTCCAAGGTCATTTACCCGGCCCTCACTCAGGGTCAACCTAAGTCTCAAATGACCTGAAAGCACACAACAACAACAACAACAACAATATCTCATCAGCCAAAAGCAGGCCCACACTTCCCATTGAAATACTAATAAGTTTATATTTGTTAAAATTGTTCTTCATTTTAATTATTGTATATTTAAGAGTGTTTTGTACTACAAATAAGATATGTGCAGTGTGCATAGGAATTCATTCATGTTTTGTTTTTGTTTTTTCAAATTATAATCCGGCCCTCCAACAGTTTGAGGGACTGTGACCTGGCCCTCTGTTTTAAAATGTTTGAGCACCCCTGGCATAAAGCCTAAGAGAACTTTTGATAGCAGAGAGCTAACATTGAGTGCATACAGAACCCTTTTCTACCCACTTCTTTCCTGCCTTAGCCTATCATGAAAATGCATAATGTAAATGGCGCTTTTCTCTTGGCTGAAATTATGCTTTCTCTCTATTGTCTTGGAAGAATTTTATGCTGTGAATGTCTGCTAATAATGCTCTCGTTGCACATTAAAACTTGTGCGCCAGCTTTGCCAGTACCTTGGAAAGTCATACTTGGCCATGGTGGTTCACTCTCTTGTTACATCTCAAATAGATTACTGCAATGTGCTCTATGTGGCTTTGCCTTTGAAGACTGCTTGGAAGTTCTAAGTAGTCCAATGGGCGGTTGCCAGGTTACTCGCTGGAGCGTCATACAGAGAGCATACAACTCCCCTGTTACGTCAGCTCCACTGTCAGCCAGTCTGCTACCAAGCACAATTCAAAGTGCTGGCTTTAGCCTATAAAATCTAAATGGCTCCAGTCCAACTTATCTGTCGCTGTTAGGAATGATGAGAGTTGAAGTCCTAAACACCTGGGGGCCGAAGTTTGCTTGTGACTGCTCTATAAGCTAGCTGGCATCCCCCCCCCCCTCGGATGTGCAACAGGAAGTCACTGCCAACTGTGAGAGAAATAAGGTTGAACACTATGAAAGCCATACACTGCATGGCTATCAGCCACCTCCCAGTAGACTCAAATTAAGGAAAACTTCCATGAAAACCACCACTCTTCTTAATGTTTCCCCAGCAACAGCAAGAGTATCCCTCTTGGCAGCTAAACCAGGAAATCCCAACTGGATGCCCCCCCACGAGGGTCTGCCTCCAGAAGCAAACCAAGAATGGGCAACTTGGAAGTCCCTGAACAAACTCAAGCGTAGAGTGGGCAGGTCAAAAGACAACCTGGTTAAACAGCACTACCTAGAAGAATCCTCTACCTTGCGTGAACAAACAATTCAGTATCTGTATGCTTGCCCACAATGCCCTGCCTCACGCACAGAGGAAGAACCGTTTAAAGCTACAAACAATTCGATCACTGTTGTCCATTTTTGGTCTAAAATTATTTAGCCACTTGTGTTTTCTCTATTTTATCAGTAATTTACTTATGCAATGCTTTTGACATGAATTAAATAAATAAAATTATTGCTATGTTGTAAGCAGCTCTTGAGTCCCCCTTGGGGCGAGAGAGAGCGGGATATAAATATAGGTGGTAAATAAATAAATAATTCATATGTTAATTTTTATCTAATTTCTTATATAAGTGTGAGTTCAGTCAGATCAGTTCATTTCTGAAGGTTTTTGCTTCTGAATTCTTTCTCAATGGCTGTTCCTAAACTGAGAAATTTACTTCCAGTGTGGCTGGGCATAGCCCTGTAAATACTCTTGTATAAAATTACATTTTTAGGAATTTTTGGCCCCATCTACACTGCATATATTGCAGTTTGAAATTGCATTATATGGCAGTGTATATTGGGCATTAATTGACAAAAGAAGTGGAAATTATAAAGCCAACTTGTTGTATATCTAAAAATTTAGAATGGTTTGTTCAGTAACCATTAACCATAATTTTCTAGTTCAGAGGTAATAGGAGATTCTGTTAAGTATAGCAGCATCCAGGATGCTGTATTGTTCACTCTTGGATAAAGGCACCCAGTAAGTACTTCTTGGCTTATAAAACTAGGATCTAATTATCTGAACAAGGCCAGTGTTTTTTTCTTTCAGGCTCAGTGTTCTTTTCTTTTGCTCTCTCTTACGTACTTGCTTCTTGTGATAAACCTGCAATGTGAGTTGTCATAATATTTTGAAAGGTTGATAATTGAGCTGCTCTCCCTTTTGTTTTTTTAAAGTATGTATTTAGTCTTTCCATCAAATGGTATCTAAGATAGGAATGCCATCATTTCCTCTTTTGAGGTGGAATAGCCATGTTACCTGGTTGCAGGAAAAACAGCCAAGAGCCTTATGTTGCTTTTTATTTGGCATAGGCTTCTATGGACTTGCTGCATCCATCAAAGTAGTTTTTAAACCTAAAACCAAATAAAACATATTAACCTTTAAAATCATTCAACTCTATTTACGAGTACTTGAGTTGCGATTTCTAGAGTGCTGCCTTGGTCTTTGTTGATCCCACACTTTTTATATCATAACTATCAATAGTTCTATGCAAGGAAATAGCTGCCATTCAGTTTCAGACAGGATTTAGCATGCTGTTAATTATTTTCATTACTTCCAGTAAAACCTTTTAGCTAGACATTTGTGTCATTTTATGACTAAATAACATTGTTACTTGTAAGCTACAGGACATGCATGGTTGAACACTCCTCATACATTATACAATGTCTATTATAATCAGATCTATAGCATCTTAGTAGACTCTTGTTACTCATACAAATTACTTTGCTTACTCAGGACATTGTTGAGAAAGTTTTAAAGTGGAGTGATCATTTTGGTCATATTTCTGCCCATCCCAGCACTCATAGTTATAACCAAGCCCTAGCAACAAAATATTTGAGTAGTCTTTGTTTTTCTTCCTTGGACTTTTTCTGTTGCTTCTGATGTCAGTATTGCTATCTTCTTCAACTGATTTGAGGAGCCTCCTTTAGTGGTTTGTGGCTCTGAAGTGGTGTATTTCACGAATGGGAAAGCTACCTCAATCCAATGGTCATTCTTTTTTACAGCTTAGGTGAGCAGCACATAGTTGGAGCCATTGACTTCATAAGTCTCTAAGAATAGATCATCTTGATTGTGAAGGCCCCCTAGTGGCAGAACATCAACAAAGCCGCTGAACTTGCTGTCAAGATAAAGCCACTAATTTACATTTGCTTGACACTATTAGGCTTTCTGACATGATATTTTAATATTACTTGTAGATTTTGCCTTTCATAGAAAGGAAACCCTTGGGATGATCTCTGCAAATATTCTCTTCTTTTGAGTCCTGTGATGTCAGGGAATCGTGTTTTGCTGATAGGTGACTAGGCCATGTTAAGCCTAATTAGAAATATTTAGGTAGAGTTTTGTTCCCCTTCATCTAAGTCAAGTGAAACAGGATTAGGTTGAAAGTAACCAAAGAAAGCCCCTGCTATTCTTCCTTCCCTCCCTATATATATTTGTACAATTTTAGTAGTTACTTTGTCTTTCTGTTCTATTAATCATAGTTGGATTGTTCAATGACTATTTCAAACTTTGAAATTAAATTACATTACATTTTTAAGATACGTTGGGAGATTGTACAATTTTTGCTAATTAGCAGGATTGTAGATATGAAGAGAAGTTTGCTTCAATGTGGAAATATTCTAAGGCACATTTCTTTCAGTACCATTAAAAAAAGAAAAACATAAAATAATACTTTCTTAATGACCTGGTGGTTGCCTAGTTGCCATTTTGGTCGTACTATTTAACTTGCAGCTGCCCCACCCTGGTATTGAAACAGCTTGAGCATCCCTAATCTGGAATTCCAAAATGTTCCAAAATTGTCCACATAGCTGCTTGAGATAGTGATACCTTTGCTTTCTGATGGTTCAATGTACACAAACTTTATTTCGTGCACATAGGCTATGTATATAAGGTATATATGAAACATAAATATCATTTGTGTTTAGATTTAGGTCCCATCTTAAATGATCTCATTATGTCTATGGAATGCTCCAAAAATCCAAAGAAGCCCCTAAATCCAAATTTTTTCTAGACCCAGCCATTTTGGATAAGGAGTACTCAGGCTGTGTTCATGTATCTGATGATTTTGTTTTATATAATAACACTACTTAACAAAATTTGAGGAAAAACTGTTCCTAGTTTGAAAGTGTTATTTCCTGTTTAATTGTGCAGCACTTACTTTGAAAGTAGCTGTTGTACTCCAGAAACTTTGCTTTGTGTCTGCCACAAACTCTATGTTAAATTGGTTGAGTCTCTATGAGATATTTATTGTAAAACAATAGCAAAATGTGCTGCAGGATGTCCTAAACTTTTCCATGTATTTATGATAGAACCAATTAGGAAATGGCATTTATAATCCAAGAATAAAAATTGTGTTACATCATGTAATTTATGTCTTGAACTTTCCATGTAGATTTATATTGCTGAAATAGCTAAACTACCTAGTAAGAATCATAGAATCATAAAGTTGGAAGAGACCTCATGGGCCATCCAGTCCAACCCCCTGCCAAGAAGCAGGAATATTGCATTCAAAGCACCCCTGACAGATGGTCATCCAGCCTCTGTTTAAAAGCTTCCAAAGAAGGAGCCTCCAGCACACTCTGGGGCAGAGAGTTCCACTGCTGAATGGCTCTCACAGTCAAGAAGTTCTTCCTAATGTTCAGATGGGGTGTTTTTTTTTTTTTTGGTAACTTAACAAAGTCCACTTCCTTTTACCTTTTTTTTTGCTTGCAGTAGTCAGAGAAGTCCATCTCCTGGTCCAAATCATACCTCCAGTACAAGTGCTTCAAATGCGACAGCACCACAGAATGCATCTGCACGACCTACGTGCTCATTAACACCTACATTAGCTGCACATTTCAATGAAAATCTTATAAAGCATGTTCAAGGATGGCCTGCCGATCATGCAGAAAAGCAGGTGAGTACTCATTCTGCAATGTTAGTTTCATTTTAGTATGATTACTTTTCCCAGGTCATGTTTACATTCCAGTGGTCTTTAAAAGAATTACTCAGCAGCTTGCATTTCTATTTCTGGAGTTGCAGGGAGTTGAAAAATAAAGTCATTCTTTTACTTGAGTGTTGTAGTTGAGTGGAAGATAGGCTGGAGAAAGTGATTGAGGGTGGAATTATATGTCTTTGGCTTTATAATTTACTATTTGCTGGATTTATAGAATCACTTGTTTCTGTTTTTATACTACCGGATTAGAAAATATAGCTATACTTTTTTTTCTTTCATTCTGAATATCAAGTTACTGTTTAGGGAAGATGTGGGAGAAAGGGTTTTTTTTTTACACTGTAAGAAAGGAGAGCATCAGACTTGTTGTGGTTTTCAAATTTGAACTAGCTGTGCTTTATGGAAGTTACTTGCTCATAAACTGTTTCAGTAGAAATTCTGGCAACATATTTTGAATTAGTATACCATTATGGAAGTCAGATATCTTAAGTATCTCACACTGCAGTGTTTTCTTATAAATCCAATTTCTTCCGAAATGTCAAGAGAGAGGCTTCCTTGGTTATAGAATACAGAAGCAATGCATTCTAACTGGCAGTTAGAATTTTTCAGTTAGGAAGAAGGCTGATAGAACAGCTAACTGGTTTGATGTGTGCCTTACCTTTGAATAACTAGAGATAGAAGGGATAGCAAAAGGTAGAAATTCTTACAGGTGTTTCTCTTGGAGGCTTCTGTGTTTAGATTTAATGTTAGGCTTCCTTGTTTTTTCATTGGTTAAATATGCTGCCTTGACAAATTACCTTATATGATATGTATAAATTGATCTCATATGTAAGTTGAGAGCAGGGTTTGGAGCAAATATAATGGAGTTTGATATGGATAAGTAGAGGATCATTCCAAGGAGAGGGGAAAGCACCAATGTTGCTTCAGAGGATCAGCTAGGCATTCAGAAAGGCCAAAAGCGACACGATAGTTCTCCCGGGAAAGATTAAGCTCTGGTCTTTTGGCACTCTACACAGAGAAGGGGGTGGTTCCTTTTTTAAATAAGAGTTAAGGTAAAGTACTCACATTGATTCATGAATAAGCTGACCCCATTTTTGGGATTGCTTTTTCAGTTTAATCATAATAGGTTGGCACTTTTTTTAGCCTCCCACATTTTATGGTTCTTCATGGCCTCTATGGCTCACACAAATGGGTTTACTACTCTTATACAGTGAATTATTTGGATATCTGCTTTGAGTCCCCTTTGGGGAGATAAAGTGAGGTATAAAGAACCTAAAAACATGGATGTTCCGTTGTGCCTTTGATTAGGCAGTTCCAAAGAACTGGCCCTTTCATACCTAAGTTCCGGCACTTTAGCATGGCCCTCTGCTCTACAATCCTGACATTATAAAGCCCAAGGACATTACTCCCCCATCCCTGCCACTGAATTTTGCACTTTACCTTAGCTCTGTCTAGGAATTTTGCACAAACCCAGAGCCCTCCCAACTCAGCACTTTTATTGCTCCCATGGTACTGTTTTCATGATGTTATGTTTTATTGTGATATGTTTCTATTTGGTTTTGTTTTGGTTTTATTTTATTGCATTATGTTTTAACTCTGTGCTCTCTGGGCTTGTCCCCTTGTAAGCCGCCCTGAGTCCTTTCGGGAAGATGGAGGTGGGGTATAAAAAAAGGTTATTATTATTATTATTATTGTTGTTGTTGTTGTAATAAAGAAGTCTAATAATAATAATCTCTAGAGCTCTTATGTAAGCGTTTGGGAGGTAGCCCCTCTTCCCCTTGTCCATGTAACTAGCCTAATTCTTTTGGAAACCCTAAGTTCATTTTCATTCACAGCAGTATCGAAGGAATTTTGAGGTGTTTGTTTATTAACTGTATTTCTGGTATTTCACTCGTCGTAATGCATGTTGGCTTTCCTCCATCTGTTTTTGTTTTGGCTTAGTTCTGGACTCTGTGTTTTGCCTTGACTTGGACTAGTCTGTTGATTTTGGCTTGAATTGGCAATTTGATTCCACTGGCCTGCTATGGCTTTGTCTGACTCCTTTAATAAAGTACGTCCTGTGGATCAAAAATACTGACTCTTTGGGCTCAGAGAAGGCCATAACGTGGAGTCTTTTGCATAAAAATACTAATTAAAAGTGCATAAAAATGCTAATTAAGAATTAAGGCTCTCCTTTATCTGCTTTGGAGAAGCCTGGCATCACAAGTTGCTACTGCCTCTATTTTCTTCAACTCCTTCTGCCTTTGGTTTGTCTTGTCTGTTTGGTGGTAAAGATATCTCTCCAGGAGTATGGAGATCACTTGGTTTAGTCCAAGGATTGCTATTACATGTCTGAATTTATCCACAATGGTAGTGGATAACTCTTACAACATTAATGTAAAACAATACTGTTGTTTGCAAGCACTCCAAAAATATAATATTTAACTCTTGTTTTAGGCATCAAGATTACGTGAAGAAGCTCATAACATGGGGAGTGTACACATGTCTGAAATTTGTACTGAATTAAAAAACTTAAGATCTTTAGTTCGAGTATGTGAAATTCAAGCAACTTTGCGTGAGCAAAGGTAAGACTTTATTCTGGGCACATCATGTTGATATCCTAAATCTTTCATCTGAGTTTTGGTTTCATAACTTTGATAAGCATGAATAGCTACTGAGCTACAATCCCAAGTGTTCAGACAGGAGCTAAAAACTGTGACAGTTTAACATACAGGATGATACTGACTTAAACAGGCGTAATACCTCCCTCCACAGCCATTGAACTACTGAAGGTGGCCTTGTGTGCTCCTGGATCTTGAACAATTATTTAGCCCATTATGTGTACCATTAAGGTAGGTCAGCCATTTCTAGGCCCAGCAATTTTGTCATTTTTTAAATTAAAAAAGCATACAAAACTTTTTCACATTATTATATATCAGCTGATGTAGACTGCATAACAAACTAAAAAAATGCATGTTATTTGGTAAAGTACTAATTTTGGAATGAATTTGCTCATCTAAGAATAGCTAATTACTTTCTTTTCCTTTGTAGGATACTATTTTTGAGACAACAAATTAAAGAACTTGAAAAACTAAAGAATCAGAATTCCTTCATGGTGTGAAAAGTTGTGAATAATTGCACATGGGTTTTTGAGTACAGGAACTGTAAAACTGGTTGCCCAGTCTTAACATTTTTGAGCTGCATATGAGTAGACTTTGGACCGTTGAGTTGGGCAAAAGAAAATGACATGGGAAAGGGGACACGAGGGGTGTCATTCAGGGGAAGGATACAAGGAAGATTTGTAAACCCTTGAAATGTAGATTTCTTGTAGATGTATTCTTCACGTTGTAAATATGTTTTGTAGAGTGAAGCCATGGGAAGCCATGTGTATCAGAGCTTAGACATCCAAAACTAATCAATGCTGAGGTGGCTAAATACCTAGCCTTTTACATGTAAACCTGTCTGCAAAATTAGCTCTCTCTCTTTTTTTAGTTAATTTATCATTCAAAAATCTTGCATTTTCTAAAATACGATGCAAGCGCCAGGCGATCTGTGTCTCAAGGCTGCAACAGTTTGAAACAGTTTGGGTAATGTACAAAATATCATGAAACAACTGTTTCCACACTTGCACCGAATCAAGAGCAGTGCTTTTCCATTTCTGTTTTACAGAGCAGTGTTCTCATTTTCTATGTTCATTTTCCCCTTGAAATCCTAGGGTCTGATTTTATCAGTTTTTTTAATTCTTCTAATTTCCTCCTTTCCTAAGGCACTGTTGCTATGGCACTTTTCTATAATCTTTTCATTCCTGTGTACAGTAGCTTAAAATTGCAGTGATTGAGCATAACCCACTTGTTTGTATAAATTATTGAAATGTATTTCCATTTGCACCCTGTAAGAATGGACTGGTAGTACTGCTGGGCATGTGTGCTGAAAGTACATCCCTTTCTCAGATTATAAGGAAACAGCCCAACGAACATGTCAACATGGTTGTGGGAGGGAAAGAAGAAGAAGAAGCTAGTCAGATGTGAATTGTATCTGTTGTAATAAACATGTTTAAAACAAAGAAACACTGGTTTTCATTTTCCTTTGGTCAGTACATATTAGAATTTGAACTCTTTGGGGATTCTTTATCAGAACTATTCTTGTTGAATACTTTTGTATTGAAAATAAGACCTCAAGGGAGGTTTTGTTTTTAAAAAAGCAGATACAAAATTGTGTATAAAATATTTAATGACATTCAACAAGGATCAGTGACATCTCCCTAACAGTTGTCTTATGTTAACTCCTGGTTTTACCTGTCTTGCTATTATGACATTTCATTTCCAAGGATGTTTGTTGTAGCTAACTGTTCAAGTCTGGTGCTGACTGCTGTTCTTAGCCATCACAAAACGCTGAATTTGTGTAATTGGAGAATCTTGCTGTTTGACAATGGTGAGAAAGCTCAGCTTTGTATATTGTTTCCTAAAGTATATTAAAAATAAAAAAGAAACTATTGCTACTACAAAATAAATGTGGGTTTTCTTTGCAAAAAGCTGTTGTTCACAACCTGATACATCAGGCTCTTGTACATTCCTAAAATTTGCCAGTTCAGAATCTAGCTATTGCTGAAAGATTGCTGTTCTGCAGGCTTGCTGTGCCACTGCTGCTGTTGATGTATTGATTTAAACTCATTCAGTATGCTGAAACCTTATACATAAGTTTGGATGCTTTTGATGTGCTTCCTGATTTTGTCCGTATAACTGTTCCTCTGTGTTCTTAGTTATTTTGTGCCTACATCTTTTGTCTTTCTTGTGACAAGTTGCATAACACGAAATCACTGGAAAACTGACTTCCTTTTCTGCTTTTTAGCTGTATTCACACAGTATTGAGTGTACTAAACATGGTGTTTGTTAGTATCAATTGGTAAGATTTACAGCAACGTTTCTCAACCTGAGGGTAAGGACCCCTGGGGGGTCGCCAAAGATAATCAGAAAACATATAAATCTGATGGTCTTAGGAACCCCTTTGGCAGAGAAGGCTGAAGATCTCCGCACCCATCCTTATCTTCCTTTTTCGAAACAGATGGCGAATCCTTCCACCAAAAGCCCTCCGCTGTGATGGGCCGGCCTCTCAGCCAAGGGGAGGGCTGTTTCTGAGACTCAAAAGTGGGGAAAGGGAGAGCAGGTGTGCTTAGCGTATGGCAGTGTGGTGTGCACATGCGGGCGAGGGGGAGCATATGAGGCTGGAGTAGTTGGATCCAATTTCTGTCTGGCAAAAAATTCTAAACACAAGTTCTCAAAGCTAATCACCATTTCTATGGAAAACAATGTAATGAATTCAGAAGACACCTCCCTTCTAACATTAGAAAGTAACATCTAGAATTGATGGACTCCTAACACCACAGTGATTGCAGGGTACAGCTCGCTCATATGATCGTCAGCAGACACTGCCAGAACTTATTTATTTATTTATTTATTTATTTCTTGTACTTATTGACCGCCACTCTCAGCCCCAGGGGCGACTCGTGGCGGTGAACAGCAACATAGAAGGACAGCATACAAAAATCATAACAATACATTACAACCTACTACTACAACATATACTTATACTAAAAATCCGCTTCGTCTAATCCTAGGGTCATAGCCAGGTTCGTAGTCATAGTCCATTCTAACGTCGTTCCACAGATACACTTAGTTGAAGGCCTGCTCGCAGAGCCAAGTTTTCAGGCTCCTACGAAAGGCCATCAAAGAGGGCGCCTGTCTAACTTCAGTAGGGAGGGTGTTCCACAGCCGGGGGGCCACCACCGAGAAGGCCCTCTCTCTCGTCCCCGCCAGACGTGCCTGCGAGGCAGGCGGGACCGCGAGAAGAGCCTCCCCGGATGATCTCAAGGCCCTCGTGGGCTCGTAGGCCGAGATGCGGTCTGCAAGGTATTTTGGGCCGGAACCGTTTAGGGCTTTGTAGGCTAACACCAGCACCTTAAATTGGGCCCGGTAGCAAATCGGCAGCCAGTGGAGCTGGGACAGCAGGGGCGTTGTACGCTCTCTGCGTCCTGCTCCTGTTAATAACATGGCTGCCGCGCGTTGGACTAGCTGAAGCTTCCGGGCCGTCTTCAAGGGCAGCCCCACGTAGAGCGTTGCAGTAGTCAAGACGGGATGTGACCAAAGCATGTACCACCGTGGCCAAGTCCGGCTTCCCAAGATACGGGCGCAGCTGGCGCACGAGCCTAAGCTGTGCAAATGCTCCCCTGGTCACCGCTGACACCTGGGGCTCCAGGCTCAGCGATGAGTCCAGGGTCACACCCAAGCTGCGAACCTGTGCCTTCAAGGGGAGTGCGACCCCGTCCAGCACAGGCTGTAACCCTATACCCTGTTCGGCCTTGCGACTGACCAGGAGTACCTCTGTCTTGTCTGGATTTAATTTCAGTTTGTTCGCCCTCATCCAGACCATTACAGCGGCCAGGCACCGGTTCAGGACTTCGACAGCCTCCTTAGTAGCAGGTGGAAAGGAGTGACAGAGTTGGACGTCATCTGCGTACAGGTGACACCGCACCCCGAAACTCCGGATGATCTCACCCAGCGGCTTCATGTAGATGTTAAACAGCAGGGGGGACAAGATGGAACCCTGAGGAACGCCACAGGTCAACGGCCGTGGCGCTGAGCAGGAGTCCCCCCATAACACCTTCTGGGTACGACCCTCCAGAAATGATCGGAGCCACTGCAACGCAGTGCCCCCGAGACCCATCTCTGCAAGGCGCCCCAGAAGAATCCCGTGGTCGACGGTATCGAAGGCCGCTGAGAGGTCCAGGAGCACCAACAGGGACACACTCCCCCTGTCTAGCTCCCGGCGCAGATCATCCACTAAGGCGACCAAGACCGTCTCGGTACCATGTCCCGGTCTGAAACCAGACTGTGCCGGATCCAGAATATCCGTGTCTCTCAAGAATACCTGGAGTTGTGAGGCCACCACGCTTTCCATGACTTTGCCCAAGAAGGGAAGATTGGAAACAGGCCGAAAGTTGTCCAATTTAGTGGGGTCAAGTGATGGTTTCTTCAACAGCGGCTTTATAACAGCCTGTTTTAGGCTCGCTGGAATCTTGCCTTCCCGGAGGGAGGCATTAACCACCACCGTTACCCACTCGGCCAATCCCCCTCTGGCCTCCTTCAGAAGCCAGGATGGGCAGGGGTCTAGGATGGACGTGGTGGGTCTCATTCCTCCAAGTATCTTGTCCACATCCTCGGGTTTCACAAACTGAAAAGAATCCAACAAAATCGGACAAGCAGGTGCTTGTGTCACATCCACAGAGACTGCATTTAATGTGGCGTCCAGCCCAGAGCGGATCAAAGCGACTTTGTCTGCAAAGAACCGAGCAAATGCTTCACAGCGCGTTGCCGAGTTGTCAGGGCTCCCACCTGAGATAGGGGGAGTTAAAAGACCTCTGACAATCCGAAACAGCTCCGCCGGACGGTTTTTGCAGACGCAATAGTGGCCGCAAAGAAAGTTTTCTTTGCGGCTTTTATTGCCGCGGCATATGCCCTTAAAAAGGACACAAACCGTGTTCGATTTGGCTCGCTCGGGTCCGAACGCCACACACTCTCTAGTTCCCTCTTCCTTCGCTTCATCACTGCCAGCTCCTCGGTGAACCAAGGCGCTGGTTTAGCTCGGCTACTTGAGAGGGGACGTTCCGGAGCGATCATGTCAATTGCCCTAGTCATCTCCCCATTCCAGAGAGCGACCAAGGCCTCGACATGAGCACCTACCAAGGTGGCGGGAAACTCCCCAAGAGCCGTCAGGAATCCATTCGGATCCATTAGCCTCCTGGGGCGGACCATCTTAATGGGTCCTCCACCCCTGCGGAGGTTAGGGGGCGCAGTGAGTCTAAATCTAATCAGGAAGTGGTCGGTCCACGGCAACGGAGAGATGGCCAACTCCTCCACACCGCCACCCTGCTCCCATCCCTGGCAGAAAACCAAGTCCAATGTATGTCCAGCACAGTGGGTGGGGCCAGTTATTCGTTGGGACAGCCCCATGGTTGCCATGGCAGACATGAAGTCCTGAGCCGCTCCTGTGAGGGTCGCCTCGGCATGGATGTTGAAGTCCCCCAGCACAAGAAGCCGTTGGGACTCCACCGCCAGGCTCGAGACCACCCCCGCTAGCTCAGGTAGGGAGACTGTAGTGCAGCGAGGTGGACGGTACACTAACAGAATCCCTATTCTGTCCCGGTCACCCACCCTCAGGTGGACGCATTCAAATTTGTGGTCTGCGGGATGGGGCTCCTGGTCAGATGGATGGAATCTCTATAGACCACTGCGACCGCCTCCCCGTCCTCCGGCTCTTGGTTGGTGTTGCACGGAGAAGCCTGGAGGACAAAGCTGGGAGAGGTTTACGCCCCCCGCTTCATCCAGCCAGGTCTCCGTGATGCACGCCAGATCTGCCCGCTCCTCCAGGATTAAATCCTGGATCCAAGTTGTTTTTCCGTTGACAGACCTGGCGTTCAACAACACCACCTTCAAGCCGGAGGGCCCGCTCACCTGGTTACACCAATTTACCTTAGGAGACCTTTTGGGAATAGTTAATTTAGATAAGCGGTCCGAATTAGGCCGAATTCGAGGTCTCCTTCTCCCGCATCTCCTCCTTCCCACCACGACCTCTATGGGGGCCCCTCGGCTAGTGGAACACCTCCCCCCCTCCATGCCGCAATCCTGGGGTATGAGAACATCGTCTCCTACAGTTGTTGTTAGGTGCATTGGTTCTTGCCAGCATCTCCCCTCCCCCTCCTCCCCCCTCCCCACCACACCTTCAATCACAGGCTCCAGGCCACCTCCCCTTCTGCCCCCACCGCTACACCCGAGCAGCAGAAACAATACACAAAAGGGGGCAGGGGACCACATGGGTAGCAGCTATACAGATGGCGGTCGATGTTCCGACGGCTTCTATAGAACAGTTCTTACAGTGCATTGATTTTAGGAGCAGTCCATCAGTGATCGTAATTGATCGTAATTAGTTAGTAGCAACACACAATCAAAGGCACATTAATAAAGTGCTATGTCTAAAGTGCTCTGCTTAACAATAGTAAAGTGCGGCACGGAGG